GACATATTAATTTACCAGGTAATTTTTTCCTATCATAATGAAATATTGTTTTAGCTTTGTACGACACCATGAGAATTGCACCTCCAACATGGCTCGCTAAACATATTTCTTACAACCCAGAATTTTTTCCGGGTATGTGCTTACGTCTTGTTGATTTTCGCACAGTTGTTTTGGTCTTTACAACAGGAAAGTGTATTATTACAGGAGCACGAACAGAAGAAGTTATTTTTATTGTTCAAAATAAAATTTACAATTCGATTTTAATGTTTGTAAAAATCAATAAATACTTGAGTTGATTTCGCTTCTTAATTCCATCAAGAGTTTTCCAAGATAATTTTCGCCTTCCCATTGGCTAGGATCTTTCAGTTTTGCACTTTTTGGACATACGCCGTTGCTCCAATAAAGTTCTAATGCGGACGCCTGCGCAATAAGTCCATCGCCTGTGGCACGTAACTGATTGAATAGCTGAGTGTTCTGGGTAAATTTTGCCCATAGTCCTGTGTACATAACCTATAATTTATGATGAAATTATAAATTATATTTTTTTACTTTGTTGCGAACAGAATTCCATTCAATTTGATTATATCCACGGATTCGTTTTCCAATTCTTCGAATAGTTACAGGATTATCTAGCAGTAATATTTCCGAAGCAATTTCCAAATCCCCGAAGAAACGTGCTTTCTGCCAAATGAAAAATTGTTCTACTGAACTAAATGTTTTTCCAAGTAGTATGAAACTTGTTCTAAATCGGTTGTCAAAGCCAAAACGTTGAGAATGAAATATGAATATATTTTGATGTTGTTCACCAATAATTTCTATTGGTGGATGCGAGTTCGCAGTAATTTTTATTTTAAGTTGTTCTAGGAAACAAGCTGTATTATCTTAAAAAATTTTATATTTAAAGTAATTTAAAAAATTAACCTATATTGATATCACTGGTCATATTGCTAAAATTATTTCAAAACAACAAAACAAGAATTTATAAAAGATATATTGTATAAAACAAATCTAATACAAAATTTTTATTAAAAATATTTATACGAAAAAATCATTTTGTTGGATCATTAATAGGCTCGCCCCTATATCCATAGGGATAACAATCGAAATTTGCATCTACAAATCCTTTGTCATAGATTGGTGTGTAGCGTCTAAATAAATTTAATATTTTTTAAATAAAAACCAAATACCTTATTTGAGTTCGACTTGTAACTTGTCCTTTGCGCCAGTTCGGTTGGAAATGTGTTCGCTGCAATACCACAGGATCTTGTTTCTCTCCATATGCTTCTACCATTTTCTGTAAATAATTTATAAAATTAAAAGTATAATTTAAAAATACGCGGAATTGATTAAAGTCCAGTGGTGTGTCAACTTGCTCCCAAAGTCCACGGCATTTTACAATATATTTTATTTCTCCAGTCTCACGGTGCTTCATTTTCATTGCATACTAAAAAATTATTTACAATAAAATTTTGATTTCAATACCTGTTTGCATCCTCCTGTATAAAAAGATATAATAGACCATTCTGCATATTCACGACTCATCATTCCAAGCATATCTCCAACACGAAATGGAGGCTTCTTATTACGCTTGTGTACAAAGAAACAACTATCTGTATCGGTATATAGAAGTTTACATCCGGTGTCATTTACAATTTTTTCCATAAAGTCGTAAAGCATCACTCTTGCAGTTGCTGTTGTAATAAGGGCCAATACAATATTATACTTGTCGTGTGGTCGAACAAATTCTCGACGATTCTTATAAGGTACAGCGAATAGATCTGGAGTCAACATCTCTATAGCACCTACTTCCAGCTTTGGATCATTTAAAATTGTATGAAGTTTTATTGGGGAACTTGTGATGCAATCTTGAGTTAAATTACAGCGAAGTGCCCAGCGTCCCCACCTAAAATTATTGATTTAAATTTTTAAATTTTCTTACATTGAATTATTGCAAGTTTTAGCTAGATAGCGTAATCCTTCATTCCTTGCTATTTTTGAAGGGTCAAGCTTAATACCATATTCTTTTTGATTTTTCACCATAAAATCATTTTTGAGTCTTTCTTCATTTTCAAGATTTTCCGGAGACAAAACACTGCTGGGCCAACCGCTTGCCTATGTTAAAACGTATGAACATCAAAACTAATGTTAAAACCTCAATTTTTAGTCGCATCATGTCCTGAACATATGGGCGTAGTAATTCATCAGACCATTCTTTCCAATGATAGATACTATAGACTTTTGTCGCACGATAACCTCTGCTCAAAGCAAGTTCTAGTTCTACTGTGCATGTTGTGCTTACAAATCCGCGTTGTCTATCGTTATGTTGACACCATTTTCTTCCATTACAATAGCTGTTTTGTTTACGTTTAGCTACACCTGGCTCTATCTCTATTGCACACTGATGACATAGGTGAAATATCTAGGAAATTTTTTTCTTTGTATTAAAAATAACATACCAATTTTCCGTGTATTCTTTCAGGAATTACAGGCAAATATAAGTTATCCGGAGGAATAATGAATAACTTAAATATTCCACGATAAGGGCGTAAATCTTCCGGTTTTGTCCAATTTATATCGAGATTGAGATCCAATAACTCCGGATGGCCTAAATAATGTTATTTAAAAAATTTTTATTAAGTCTCACCAATGGGGTAGAATGCATAAAAGTTAACCGCAGGATATAGACTAACAACATCATAACATGAAATTTCATATTCATTTTCTCCATCACCTTCAAGGTTGCATTTAAGTGATAAAGGGCCTGTCCTTCCACCTAGATATCACATATTTATAAGAATTAAAAATTAATAAAACCATGAAAAGCATCTCGCGGGAATAAAGGTCCAATGTCTGGCAATTCATCAAAGAAAAGAGACATTTGTCGATTATCTTCCAATGCCTTGACTACTTCACATTCCCAAAATATGTAGGTACGTATGTTCTCGTTCTTTAACAAATTGATTCGTTCGTTTAAAGTGTCGTCATTAAATAGTGCTGTTTTACCATTTAGACATATTTCGTGAGGACGATAAAGACTAAATTTATAAGTAAGAAAAATGAAGCTTATTTTACCATTTATGTCCATGCCAAGCACATCCTAGGAACTCTATAGCTATATTCTTTTCTTTAATGAATCCATCAAGTCGTAAAACACTTCCATTTGAAACGGTAATTCTATACTCGCCTTCAGCACTTTGTCTGTTTTGTATTTGAAGTCCGGATTTATATTCAAGCCATTTAATAAATTTAATGGAAATTGCTGAATAGTTTGTATCTTTGTGATACCCGTTGTCTGGAATAATACCTATCTGATTGCTTTTCAGGTAGTTTATGCCTAAAAATATAATTATATTAGTTAGGATTTTTAAATTTACAAAAATGACGAAGACATGCACTAGCAAGTGTCATTGAAGATACAAGAACATCATCTCGTTTTGATGGATCTGTAGCTAGTTCAAAGGATAGCTTTTGCAGTTTAACGAGAGCGTGTGTAAGTATGCGTACATCCTGCTCACAATATTCGACAATTTGTTCACAAAGTAAAAAGGAACCGTCCTTGTGCATATCATACCATTCTTCGAAATCTTTCCTTCTTTGTTTTCCCATTGTTTCGGGATAATAATATTTTTTAGCGGGCAGGCTTTTCAACAAAATGTCCATATTTTTATTGAGATTCCATCCATGAGGAAAAAATGATTTTCCTCCTTCATCAATATCTAGACCAAGAGCCTTTGGTAATTGATCCAACTTGAGCATCATCCAATTAAAAGAATCACGAAAAGAAATATAGGGATAATATCCATCTTTCTTCTTAATAAGAACTTCATAAAGTTTGTTTCCAGTTCTAGTTATATTTGGTTCAATTCCAAAGTGTTTAATCAGTTCGCCCAATAGTAAATGCATATCGTAACGTCTGGAAATAATAAAATAAAAAATAATTAGCACAAACCCTCCATAATGTGAAATTGCAAGTGTTCGTCCTTTCCTCTCTTTACCAAGTCCAAAAATTATCCATTCAAGAAATTCACGCAATGGATTTTCGTAATTTGCACCTGTCCAACTTCTCATTCTTGGAATTCCTGGTCCACAGGTTTTGCAAGCTCCTGTATATTTTTCTTTCCAATTATTATTTTGCATACAAGTTGAGCATAATAACATTGCCTAATTTATATTTTAGATGTTAAAATAATTTAAATTACCGAAACACAGTTAACATGGTGTAATTGATAATTTTCATCGTAAGATGAGCTATCATTTGTATTTTTTGATGATGATATTAGTTCACATTCAAAATCAAATACAACCTAGAAAACATTTCAACAATCATAAATGCGAAAATTTACCATAAGATAAGATTGCGATGTCCTTGGAACAATCGGTTGCACAAAGCATTGTTCGTCGCGTCTATGTCTGGAGCGGCAAAGGGAACAGAAACGAATATAACACACATGTCCTTCATTTTCTTCCTTGTTATTCACTTTGTATATTTGGCCGCATTCTTTGCATCTATTTTAATTTTATTTTAAATTGCAAGTTTATTTACCTCTTAAAAATCTGACAAATTCCTTTTTCTATATGTCGTCCGTAACAGTCGGGATTTCTAAATAAATTAAAACAGTTGGAGCAATTCATTTCGTAATTTTCAATCTCTTTGCATGGAAAATCTGCACCCATCCCACAACATCGTGGGCATTTTGCTGCACATGTCTGTCTATGTTCCAGTTTGCTGTGGAAAGTTGCTTCACATTCAAGGCAATAATACATGTGTTTGCCAAAAAATGTATTTAATCTTCGTATACCATAATAATGTCCATCCATTAAATAAAGACTGATATCTTTTTTAGCACGATCCGGTCCCTTCCACAAAGGTGTCATTTGGCCATGTTCTCCAAATACCGATAAACGATATTCACCAGGATGCTTCGCATCAAGATATTTTTGTATTAAAGGAACATGTTCTTCCACAGTATATTGTTGTAATTTCAGAGGATATCTTATTCCGTGTCGTTTCATTTGGATTATCATATCTTTGATCAGTGTATATCGTTCAATCTTGGATTTTGCTCCTTTTCCTGCGATAATTCTTTGAAAATTCACATTTTCTTTTGTAGTTTTAGCCATGTTTACATAAAGCAATGTCAGTTGAACAGCCAACAAAAGGCAATGATTTTTGGCAGGCTCACCAAGATCATCGTTACGAACCTTAAATATTTAATTTTCATTTATAATTTATTAAACCTCTATAAGATTGTTGAGGTCTGTTCCTTTAATAATATCTCTAGGTTTTCTGCCGCTACCACTATTCCCTTTTTGTATTAAAGCAAGAGCCTCTTCATGAGAAGGCCCCATAACAATCTAAATATAAAAATTTTTTTGTATTTTGTAAATCAACCTCTATATGAATTGGCTGACTGTAAAGGGATGGCCTTCCCATCCTTTTACCGCTTTGATCAACAGAATCAAATTGTTCCATAACAACTTGTGGTGTATTTTGCGCAAAACCTCTGTATGGAATTTGAATTGGTTTTTCAAGAACTGCACTTCGTATAATTATTGAATATTTTTCTGCTTTAGCACCGGTTGTCTTGTCTGCCTTTGCAATGAAGTAGTCAATTAAATCTTCTAAAAGCTGGTCACTTCCTTCAGGCGCATCTTGAATATTTTTAACAGTGAATATATTTCTAAAATAAAACAAAATTAATGCACAATTCTGAATATACCTGAAAACTCCAATTTTGAATTTTGTGCTGTTAATAATATCAGATGCCTCTTCTTTATAAAAATGATCAACAGAATATTCACCAAAATTTCTCGTTTGAAGATCCATCTAAATGCTATGAATAAAAGTCAAAATTAAAAAATTAGATATTAACGTTAAAACATATTTTTAACGAAAATTATGGGTCTTTTATATATTTATTCTTAATTAGTTTTTTTAAAAATCAATGCTGCTTCATTTTACTATTCATTTAATTTTTTCCGTTTCTGTAGTAACAACACGTTCTTCTGAAGATTCTTCAGTTTGTACAGCCTTTTCCTCTGTTTTTAGTTGATTGATAGAAGCCGTCTGTTCTCTCATGAATATTATTGGCGAATCTAATATTATAAATACATGAAGCAATTTTGTCAAACCTTCTCTCATTATTGGTCCGTGAATGCTTCCGTGTTTGTTGAAAATCTTAATTGCCATTTCAAGATCAATTTGACCCCAAAATTTGCTAAATGGATTATGAAGCTCAAAATACAACTCATCCTTCACGACTTCCGTAATGGCCTTAAATAACAATTAATTTTATAAAAAATAAAAATATACAATTTTTGCCAGCGCATTCATCTCCTTAAGTAGATATTCATGTATTTGACTTTTTGCAAGAGGATAGCGTTTTTCATGAAATTGCATAAAAGCATCGTAGAGTTCATTTTTTAGTATTTTGTCATCTTGGCGTACATACTCTAGCGTGTTTATTTGTCGAGAGAAGCGTATAACGCTTTCTTTGAGTCCATCAATAACATGTTCATACATTTGTTGATCCATCTTAATTTTTCTATTTAAGATTTAATTATTATTAATACCGCAATGTTGAAGATAATGAATAGACACTGAAACATTTTCTGTAAAATTTAATTGTCAATTGTATAAAATAATTATTTTAAATTGTTAAAGTAACAATTAATTTCTGTAATTAATGTTGCTCGAAATTTTTATTCAACAATATTAAGCAAGTAAACTATCTTTAATGATTCATTTTAATTCTTCTTATTATAAAAGCCATAGGTTTTTTGCTGTTGTTCTATGTTAGCAGTTGTGCATTGAGAGCAAACCTTAAATGAAAAATTATTTTAATAATTTGATAATTTGTTTACAAGGAAGCTGAGCTCGTAGATACTGCCATTTTTCTTGACGAAGAGATTATTTGCCAGTTTTTTTGTAAGCTCGCTGCATTGTAAGCACTAAAATTATTTATACAACTGATTATTATATTTCAGTACCTGGTGGAGAATCCAGCAAAATTTTCCCAAGTTTAGAAGCTTCTTTTCTTTACTATTTGTAATGCAGGCACCTCTTGAAAATTCAAACCCTTCGTTAACTTAATAAAAATATTCATATGTAAAAAAAAGATTACCCAAATCAGGCATTGAATTGATGTTTTTTCCCGATTGATGTCCATTATTAGAATGCCCTAAAATATTTTTAATTTTCGTAAAAATTTTAACTCACCAAAGTATCCAGAGTAATGCATTCCTAAAGAGATATTCTTGTCAAGATCCTCAGCACATAATTCTATAGTCAATAAAGATAAACCAGATATTCCTGTATTGAATAAATAATATTCCCTTTTCTTTTGACGTTCACGGCATAGTTCGCATTGGTACAAAAAAATACCGCCACGCGGATTTTTAAGAAGCTGTGCGCGATTAATCCAGGCCTCTGGCCCTGCGAAACTCTTTTGCAAAGTTCCTAAAATTGTTTCATTTATAAATTTTGAAATTTAAAATTACCTTCACTACGCATTCTTTTAATAAACGCTTCGTTTAATCCCCTTGGAATATCTTCTTCTGAATCTTCTGATGAGTCTCCATTGAAAGTATAATGCAGATCTGAAAAAATGCATGCCTGATGTAGATCGTCGTCTTCTTGTTTTTCTTTATCTGTCATTTCTTTTGCTTCTATATCGTTTAACTGTTTTATAAAATTTAGATCAAAAAATGAGAAATACTATACCAAAGACTCAGATGATCTTTTAATTAATTTCTTCTCGGGAGTTTTAGTCTTCCTTAGCGGTGCTGCTTTGTCTGCTGAACTCGCCTTTGATATAGACTTTCTTCTTCTATTTTCTGATGCCACTTTCTTTTTTTGTTGCTTTGAAATAAATTCGCGAAATATCCCCATTTCCTCAGCAGTTAGTGAAACTTAAAACTTGAAATTTTATACTTGAAGATAGTTACCTTGTGATCCATTATTTTGAATATCGTCATCAAGATTAATTGTCTCGACTATAACAATAAAATAGTTGTTAGATATTATATTATTTATTTACCTTCTTTTGAATTAGAATTCATTTGTTTAGGGAAATAAAGCAAACAAATATGAAATTTAAATCTTTAATAGTTTAAAAATTTTTTTTAATTATTTGGATATTTTAAATAAATTTTAAATAAATTTAATCGGAAGTTTATGTATTTTTAGTGATAGGAAATTGTTGGTAAGTATTATGAATGAAACAAGGCGAAAACTTGCTTCTTTTATATGTACCTGAAATGCTTCTAGAACATTCTAGAATAGATAATTACTATGAAATAACTTGTTTTTTGCTCAATTATATTATCAAATGATCGTTGAATCCTTGTGTTTTGAACAATAGACAATCAAATTTACGTGTTATTACCAAATATTTCGGGCAATTAAGTGGGCATTTTTAAGTTGTTGTTGCGAATTATGTTCTATTATGTACTTTGTGCAATTTTTGGCCCAATTAAGTGGGCATTTTTTGTGCAATTATTTCGAAATAAGTTTTGGTGATTATGTGGGCATTCTTACGTTTGATTGTTACAAAATAATTTGGCCTATTATGAGGCCGTGTTTTACTTTAATTATTGCGAAATATTTTTTGTAGCAATTAAGTGGGTTTTTGGTGTGACGAAATATTTTTAGATAATTATATACAATATTTGAAAGCATTTTATTTCATTTTTTACATGATTTAACAAACTTTTAAATTTTTGTTTTATGCACATTTTTAATGCTAATCTTTATCAATTAAGGATTGGACATGTCTAATTATTTATTTTAAAATTATTTATTCTAAAAATTTTAATAATTGTATGAAAAATATGTATTAAATTGATGGTACCAACATTTGCACGATATATAAGTCCAACATGTAGGTCTATACTCCCTGTAACCAAAGGGTCTACACAGTAGTCTGTTAATTTTGCACATTGCACTCCACACATTTCGTCTGTCATTTTTCAACTATTTTTATTATCGATTATACCTAAATCGGATCTTCGTTAGGAAAAATATAAAACTTTCATATGTAAGATTTCACATTATGTTTCTTTAATCGCTATTTGCTTTTGTGTTTCGTGAAATCAATTTCTAATACAATATTTCTTTTCAAAATTCTCAAATTTTTCTACTATTTTTCTAAAAAAGTTGAAAAAACTTTCAGTATTCTACAAAATTCTAAATGTAAAACATATTTTTATAATTTTTAATTACATTTTTTACTAAACTTCGTCTTGTTAAATTTTTTGCTAATAAAAATTTTTTAGTTATTACCTTGCGCACTCTATAGAAAATTTACTTTTTCAACTACACTCTTTTTATCAATTTTAGGTAATTATAGATGCGCAGTAATTATTGCACACAACTCATCATGTATAAATTTTTTAGTAAAATAAAATAATTTGTATATAATTTATTATTCAAAAAAAGAAAAATTTTTTAGAATGATTAGTAAAGGTATTGGTTAACTTTTTTACTACGTTTTTAAAACACTTTTTTTGAAAAATTATTAAAAAAGTGTTTTAAAAATGGAGTATATACTACTGATACTGATTTTAGTATCCATATCCGCATATTTACGGCGGATACAGACGGATATCCGCAGGGATTTTTATAATATCTGTACCATATCCGTATCCATGTGCAAGTCTGCCTGTAACCATGACTTTTTTTCAGAGGAAGTGAGGGGGGGGGGGGAGATTGTTCATAAACAATTTTTTTTATAGTTTTCCCCTTTCACCCACATTTCTCACAATTTTTGCCCTGAAATTTTTTTCTTATTCACAGGCATGGTATCTCGATAATACGTCATATTAGGGGGTGTATTTATTTTTTATTTATAGACAAAGTCCGACTTGATAAAAATATATTTGGTATTAAATTTATGACGAGAATGATTCGCTAAATTTAAATAAAAAATATTTTTTTTCTGGCCTTAAATTTTTAATTGCTTTATTTTTTACTTAAATTTAGCATTTTTCGGTAGATTTTTCAATAAAAAGATTTTTTTGTAATTCAAAGTAATAATTGTTTCTATTGTTTCCCAAAAATTTTGTAATTATTTTTTTATTATCTTAAAACGGTGTTTATATATTTTAATGAATAAAGAATTAATCAGAATTACATATTAAAAATTAATTTTAAGGTTTTAGAATTATTTTTTAAAATTGTCTATTGGATCAGAATTAAAAAAACCTTATTTAAAAATTTAGAAAAAGGACTATTTAAAAATCAGAATTTTTATTAGACATAGGATTATGAATAGGGCCCGGATTTGTACGGAATATGGACTATAAAGTCCAAAATTTGGACCAAAAATCAGAAAAAATTGGAAAATATGGGCCAAAATATTGAATAAAATTTGGCAATAAAATGCACTAAATTAAAAAAAACGTAAAATTTATTGCACATTTAGCTCCTATTAAGTACATTTCAATGTTATCTGGGGCACCGGTACACCTCAATTGAGTCCGCACGATTGAGTCCCCACGATTGAGTCCCGGCACGATTGAGTCCCCCTTGTATATACCTCAATTGAGTCCCCGTGTATTTAATTATATTAAAAAGGATTAAGAGGGATATCGGGGGATTTTTAGAGATTAAAGTGAACATCAGGGGACTTGTATTCGACATCGAGGGATCAAGTTGGATATCGGTGGATATGGAGGGATATAAGTAGATTTAAGCGATTAAAGGGGATATCGGTGGATTTGGGGATTAGAAGGGATATCAAGAGATTTTTTGAATGACAGCTCATTCGAATGAGCTGAGTCGAATGACACAAAAATCAACATGGTTCTCGCCGAGATATGGGGCTCGAAATGGTCAAATCCACGGGGGAATTTTTGGGGACAAAAAATTCGAATATTAAATTATACCTCATTCGAAAGGGCTCGACGAGCTGAGTCGAATGACATCAAAATCAGCTTGATTCAATGATTCTGAACAAAGTTATGACCAACTGAATCTGCGCTGGAAAACTGTTTTGTGCTGCTACGGAGGGAATGTGGGGTGCAGCAGGGGTGCACAGGTGGTCTGTCCGGCATTTATACCTTAAAAATAGAAATTTTGGAATAATCCCGCATGCCGGATATGGAAATTTTAAACTTATTAAATCCACGGGGACTCAATTGGGGTATATACAAGGGGGACTCAATCGTGCGGACTCAATCGTGGGGACTCAATTGTGCCGGGACTCAATCGTGGGGACTCAATCGTGCGGACTCAATCGTGGGGACTCAATCGTGCGGACTCAGTTGAACTGCTCCGCTGGGGCACAGCAACTTAACCTGCAACCAAGCCCCGTTTCAGTGCAGACTGAATTTTTCTCTTTTTCTTTTCACTCTATCTATTTAGCGTGCTATTTTCATAAGGATATTGTCGTTTTTGAGCTCCAACTTCGAGAAACTTTATTTCGATAAATCTCTATAGATTTAAAATTTTGTCTTACAATATCGTAGATAATACCCTAAAGATTCATTTAAAAAGAAATCAGAAAAATTTAATTATTGTGTAGGAACATTTTATTTTGTTGTATGGTTTTGCTGTATTGCATAACTTTAGCCGGTAGCTGGTTCCAAAGTCTTTCGATTTATATACCATTCGATTCGTCTCGTCGAGCTGAGTCGAATGGTACAAAAGTTTAGTCTCAGAAATGAATTTGGACCGAGATACTAGTGATGGTCGGGATTCCCGGTCTCGGTTCCCGAGTCGGGAAATTTCCCGGGTTTTTTGAGCTCTCGGTCTCGGTGTTTTGATCTCGGAAAACGAGACTAAATTTACACCCCTAATGACGGAAATTTTTTAAATTTTACTCGTAACCCTCGTACTTAGACATTTAATTTTTTAAGGAAAAGGGAAAGAAATATTTATATTTTCTCCCATTTTTCCTTTTGATGGTCGATGGTTGAGTGGTTAAGTTGACTGACTTCAATCACTTTGCTTTTTGTTAGGTTTGGGTTCGAATCCAGGGTTTGGATTTAGGCTGAAAAATTTTTCTTTTCAAAAATAAATGTCTTTTAACTTCGATTTTGATTTCAAATTTATTTTTTTAATATTTTTACTTGAAAAGACATTAAAAATTTTAATTGAATCATGAATTTTTTAAAATTTTCGCATAGGGCGCCTAAATCCTCAGTATACATACTCACTTGCGGCGTAGAAAATGGGAGAAATCTGGCTTCATGACCTCCAAAATTCTCAAAATTTTCGCCTGCGGCGCAAAAAATGAATGAAATGCAGGATGTTGTTCCTTCAACGCAGGATGTTGTTCCTTCAATGGGGGATGTTGTTCCAACGACGAGGGATGTTGTTCCCTCAACGTGGGGGTGTTGTTCCAGCAACGGGGGATGTTGTTTCGTCAATGGCAAGAATTTGTTCCGTCAATGGGGGAAGGTTGTGGAACAACTTCCCCAGTTGAAGGAACAACATCCCACGTTGTTGGAATAACTTTTACCCGTCGTTTGAACAACATTCCCTTTGTTGGAACAACATCCCTCGCCGACAAATCAACTTCCCCCGCTTGTGGAACAACTTCAATCAACAAATCAACTTACCCCGCTTGTGGAACAACTTCCCCGTAGTACATAATTTGTGATAATTTCTGTTTAAAGTACTAATATTCTTATACTCAAATGGCACAGCAGACTAGCAAGGGTCATAGCGAAACAAATGTCATTTATTGGGGCAGAACGCCAACGAATTAAAAAAGAGCCAAATTTATCTCTTTTTCTCTAATTTTCTCTTGTTTTTCCATAGTCTTTTACTTTAATTTTACAAAATTGGATGCAAGTTGATTCAACCAACTTTGAAATCTAATATCTCCCTTATTTTCTAACAGATTTTGATTTTGTCTAACAATTTGTTAGAACATATTATAAAAAATCATTTGAAAAAAAAATTAGAAAAATTTACGCATTTTTCACAAAATTAACGCATTAACAATTTTTGGCAAATTTTTTGGCAAAAAAAAGCAAAATTTTCGTTAAAAATCTTGAAAGTTTTGGTCGTAACATATACTATTCGATTCGTCTCGACGAGCTGATTCGAATGACACTAAAATCAGCTCGATTCTAAGATTCTGAAAAAAGTTACAGGCAATTTGTATTTTCGCCGGAATAACCGCTTTTGTGCTATATTGAGGTGAAGTCGGAAACTAATCACGGAGATTTTGGTCTCATTCGACTCAGCTCGAGGAGATCTTTCGAATGAGCTATAATTTGTATAGTCGAATTTTCGACCCCGAAAATCGGAATTTTAGGGACCTGTATCTCGGTCCACAGGCATTTCCGCACCCCATGATTAGTGTCATTCGACTCAGCTCGACAAGCTCTTTCGAATGAGCTATAATTTTTATATTTGAATTTTTGTCACCAAAATCGGCTAGGGGCCCTCCTGTGATTTTCAACTTTCGGGAGACTGTAACTCGGTCCCGGAATGTCGTATCAACTTCGTTCACATCTAGTTTGACTCATTTTTTAGAGCTCTTTCGAATGACACCTCATTTGTCCAAATCAATCCAAATTTGCAAAAATTACATTAAAAAATAACAGCCGGCTTTTTTTTAAATTTTTCCCGTTTTTATTTTTAAAAGTTTAAAAAAAATTTTACACACTTAAAATATTATTTAAAATGTTTCTTTTATGTTTTATTTAACTTATCTAATAGGAAAATATTAATTAACCATGAAAAGGTTCGAACCCGCGACCTATTTTTAAACGATTTTGTAGTCACCGCTCTTAGCCACTTAACCAAAATTTAAATTCCGCTATGTCCCCTCTTTTGCCTGCGCTAGTCTGCTGTGAAATGGCAATCCTCAACTATCGGTCCTCAAAAGTCGGTCCCCAAATGTCGGTCCTCAATCCTCAAATTCGATCCTCAAATGTCGGTCCCCAAATGTCGGTCCGCAATCCTCAAATGTCCATCCTCAAATGTCGGTCCGCAAAAGTGTTGTGTATGGGTGTCAGCCCTTGAAGTGTTAGTATAAAAGGATAGCCAATAGTTAGTTCTCTCTCCCAGTTTTAGTTCTTCTGCCTACCTTCGCCTGCTTTGTATTTCTTTGTGCAATAAACGTTTCTGTTAGCTTCGTCTACGTAAGCGGGGACATAACAGATTTGGCGCGGTCGCAAACCAGTTTCGTCTACTTCGAAAAAGGAAAATTCAGCAACAGCTACAAAAGAAAAGTGCGGCAACAGCTACAAAAGAAAAAGTCGGCAACAGCTACATAAGAAAAATGGCCCTGATTAGTAAAGTAAAAACATGGTGGGAAAACCATGAGTGTAATGTAAAGAACAGTGTTGATATTCTCCATGTGAGTATGAGTGTGAAACCTAAATGGTTAACAAAAAAAGTGTTAGTGAACGGAAACGAAGTGGAATTCATTTTGGATTCAGGGGCTCAAATCAGTTGTATAAGTGAAGTGACATGGAAGAATATTGGTAGCCCAAAGCTCACTGGAGTGCCCTGCAAGGGTAGAAGTTTCACAGGAAACGAGTTTAGTATGTTGGGCAGTTTTATGGCGAGTGTCGAAGTAGACGATAGTAAACAAGTATTGGTGACACATGTCACAAGTGAAAAATTGAATTTGTTTGGCCTACCATGGATAATTGAAGTTGAGAATAAATTGGGATATCCAATAGTGTCTAGTATTAAGAAGAGTGAAGAACCGATTAAAGTGTTAGAAATTGAAAAGGCACAAAGTAAAATTAGTGAAATAGTAAACAAATTGTCAGTGCAGTTTAAAAAAGTGTTTGAGCCAGGCTTAGGCCATTGTACAAAAATGAAGGCTCATTTGTATATGAAGCCAGGAGTGAGTCCAGTATTTGTACGGGCTAGACCAGTACCTATTGGCGTTAAAGACGCAATTGAAAAAGAGTTAAACAGATTGAGTGAAATTGGAGCTATTAATCCAATTGAATTTGCTAATTGGGCAGCGCCTATTTTAGCAATTAAAAAGGCAAACGGCAAAACAAGAGTGTGTATGGATTATTCAACGGGGTTGAATAATGCAATTGAATTGGATAGGCACCCTTTGCCAAAGCCTAGTGAAATATGGGCTGAGATCCATGGAAGTAAAGTGTTTTCGCAATTGGATCTTAGAGATGCCTATTTACAAATTGAGTTAGACGAGCAATCTAAAAAAGTGGCGTGTATTAATACACACAAAGGATTGTTTGAAGTGCAAAGATTGCCGTTTGGAGTGAAATCAGCACCAGGAATATTTCAGAGATTGATGGATAAATTGATAAGTGGAATTCCTGGAGTGTTTGCATATTTAGATGATTTAATAATAGTGTCTAAAAATATTGAAGATCATAAAGTGCAATTGTTTGAAATATTTGATCGAATTGAAAAGTGCGGATTAAAAATCCAGTTAGAAAAGTGTAATTTCTTTAAAGAAAAATTGAAGTTCTTAGGCCATATTGTATCCAAAAGTGGAATTGAGCCCGACCCTGAAAAGAAAAAGAAAATTAGTGAATTGACACGTCCAAGAGATGTTAAAGAATTGAAATCTTTTATGGGTACAATTAATTATTATGGGCGGTTTGTTAGTGAAATGCATAAATATAGAGGGCCATTGGATAAATTGCTTAAAAAAGAAGTGAAGTGGGAGTGGGGGCAAGATCAGGAAAAGGCCTTTCAAAGTGTCAAAAAAGTGCTAAATTCCGATTTAATGCTAACGCATTTCGATCCAGAATTGGAGTTAATAGTGACAGCTGATGCATCAAATTATGGAGTGGGTGCAGTGATATCACATAAATTTCCAGATGGAAAAGAAAAAGTGATTGAATACGCGAGTAAGTCGTTGAATGATGCAGAGAAAAATTATAGTCAAATTGAAAAAGAGGGCCTAGCATTAGTGTTTGCAGTGCAAAAGTTTCATAAAATGCTATTCGGCCGAAAGTTCATATTGAGAACGGATCATAAACCGTTATTGGCCATTTTCGGCAAGAATAAAGGAATCAAAGTGTTCTCTGCATCAAGATTACAAAGATGGGCATTATTATTGACAAATTACGATTTTAAAATCGAATTTGTAAGTACCAACCAAATGGGTATGGCTGACACATTGTCCAGATTGATAAGTGAAAAAAGTGAATCGGAAGATAAAGTGATTGCATTAGTTTCAAAAAGTGAAAATCGTAGTAATGAAGATTGTAGTGATGAGGACTCATTATTAGTGGAAGAGTCAATTAAATATGTATTAAACATAATGCTGGATGAAGTGCCAGTAAGTGCCGAACAAGTGAAGAGTGGGACAGAAAGTGATAGTGAGTTAAACAGGATTAAACAGTTTATTAAAAATGGGTGGCCAAAAGTAGTGAGTGATCCAGCATTAAGTATTTGGTCAAACAGAAGACAAGAATTGGAAGTGATCGATGAGTGTATAATGTTTAATGGAAAAATAGTGATCCCAAAAACTTTGAGGAAAAGTGTATTGAAAGTATTACATGAAACACATCCGGGAAGTGCAAAAATGAAAGGAGTCGCCCGGGAGTATATGTATTGGCCAAACATTGGTAGAGATATTGAAGATTGGGTCGCAAATTGTGGAATGTGCCAATCAGCGGCAAAAAGACCAATTAAAAGTGAATTGCGACCATGGCCAATTACAAACAGAAATTGGGAAAGAGTGCATATTGATTTTGCTGGGCCGTGTAAAGACGGAAAAGTGTATTTTATTGTAATTGATGCACACTCAAAGTGGCCTGAAGTGTTTGAAAACATGACAACCTCAGCAAAAGACGTTATAAAGTGTTTTGAGTGGTTGGGAACCCATTACGGGTACCCAGAAACAATAGTGTCTGATAATGGAAGTCCATTCCGTTCAAATGAGTTTAAAGTGTATTGTCAAAATAAGGGGATTAGTCAAGTATTTAGTGCCCCATATCATCCACAATCTAATGGGGAAGTGGAAAGATTTGTGGATTATTTTAAAAGAATGATGACAAAAAATTCTAATAAGAAGAATTGGCTCAGTGAAGTGTTATTGTTTTATAGAGCCAGTCCACATGAATCATTGGAAGGGAAATCCCCTAGTGAAGTGTTTCTTGGAAGGAAATTGCGATTGAATTTAGCGAGATTAATACCAAAAAAGTGTCCTTCCAAGAAAATAAAAATAAAACACCTCAACAAGTGAAAATGAAAAGTTGGTTTGACAAACACCATGGAGTAAAAAACCGAAAAATCGGTAAATTAGTGTATTTCTTAAATTACCGAAAAGATGGTAAAATCAATTGGTTGAATGGTGAAGTGGAAAGTAAAAGGGGAGTTATCTATAAGATATACTCGCCTGTATTAAATGCCATTGTAACTCGGCACGAAAATCAAATTAGAAATAGAAGTTTAAGTGAAGATTGTAATAATTTGTGGAAAAGTGTAAGTGATAGTGGATTGGAAAAAGTTGATAAACCACATAAATATGGTTTGAGAGAAAGTATTAGACAGCCTCAAAAATTAGTGCTTACTAAGGAAAGTGTAAAAAAGTATGCTGAAGAGGCTATAAATTATCCAGTGAAATTAGTGAGACAAGTGGGAACAAGTCAAAGATGAAAGACGTTGAAGACGATAATAATATGGAGATGTAGATGAGCCCAAAAATATAATTGTGATAATATTGTTGTTTGTATTTTTTTGTTTTTTTGTAATGTTGTATGTATTTTTTGTTCCCATTGTCCTTATTCCCCAAAATTTTTGTATGTATTTTTTGTTCATATTGTTTGGCTGAAAAGTATTGAGTATATTGTAAAGCTTCGGCTTTAAGTGAAGCCGAACCTTTTTTTCAAGGGGGAGGTGTTGTGTATGGGTGTCAGCCCTTGAAGTGTTAGTATAAAAGGATAGCCAATAGTTAGTTCTCTCTCCCAGTTTTAGTTCTTCTGCCTACCTTCGCCTGCTTTGTATTTCTTTGTGCAATAAACGTTTCTGTTAGCTTCGTCTACGTAAGCGGGGACATAACAAAAAGTCCGTCCCCAAGTGTCGCACCACGGACGTGTCAATATTAATGTGGGGGCATTTGAAGACATGTATTGAATTTAGGTAAAAGAATTTTGAATGCGCGTGCAGATTTTTCTACTTTATTAATTAGGTATTATGCAATTAAATTTTGGAAATTTTGGAGCATTCTTAAGTCAAAACTCTTCAATTATTCCGCCCCAAGCGAAATTTTTGAAAATTTTGGAAGTATTATATTTAGAGTTCGAATCCGGACCGGATTCCGGGTCCGGATTTTCCGGATCCGGTGGTCTGGAATCCGGGTATTTTGATAAAAACCGGATTTTCCGGATTTTGGTCCGGAAAATCCGGTCCGGGTCGAGTCGAAAAAACCCGGATCCGGGTCCGATCCTTGAAAAAAACCCGGATCCGATCTTCAATATTTTTGCATGTAACGCTGAAAATGGAAGAAATCTGGCTTAAGGACCTCCAAAATTCTAAAAATTTTTGCTTGCGGCGCCAAAATTGGAAGAAATCTAGCTCCTTGAACTCGAAAATTGTCAAAATTTTCGCCTGCGGCGCAAAAAGGAAACCACTGGAAAAGGTAAACCAAAAAGGTAAAACCATGCATGTATTAGTTTACATAAGATTCTTCCCTCTAGCAACTTTGCAGTAGTTCAGTTGTGTTCCATGAAGGGATATAGAGGGATTAGAAGTTGCTAAGAGGGTATTGGTGATTAGCAGGGATATTGGGGTTTTGGGATCTATTTAGGCCCATTAATCTCTCAGTGACTTGGACAGATAAAAGCAGATTTGTCGGGTTATCTGCTACTATAAAGATTTCTACTTGGTCACAGTAGACCAAGTAGAAATCTTTAAAAAAAAGGTAAAAATGGTCACAGTAGATGGTCACAGTAGAGGTATATATATCTATATATATATATATCTACTGGTCACAGTAGACCAAGTAGAAATCTTTATAGTACCCACATTTCCCGTCAAACCTCTCTTAATCTTTCAAAATTTCTTGTTACCCTTCTAATCCCAAATCATCAATATCAAAAGATTTAAATAAAGTGTATTACCTGTAAAACTTTAAATAGAAGGATATAGTTTAGTCGAGGGCCTGCGCAGAAACGGTACAAATGATATGTCAATCGATTCGTCTCGGCGAGCTGAGTCGAACGGTACCACTCTCCAGGTGCGGAAATGCCTGTGGACCAAGATATAGGTCCCCAAAAATCGAAAAACCATAGGGGGGAGTAAGCACATTTTTGGGGTGAAAAAATCGATTTTCTGAATGATAGCTCATTCGAAATAGCTCCTCGAGCTGAGTCGAAAGACACCAAAATCACTGTGATTGAACAAGTTTGGACCTAGATATGGGGCTCGAAATGGTCAACGTAAACCTATGGAGCGTCGGCGAGGCGCTTGTGCAAAACTCCGCGCTTCGCGCGGAGTTTTGCGGCACGCGCCTCGCGGGGAGTCTACGGGCGCTGGGTCTGGGCTCGTAACTTAATCCTATTCCTTTTTACCGATTCTCAGCCTTGAATGCCGACCTACCCTCCGTAGCAGCACCAAAACTTTTATTCAAGCGAGAATTAAGTTGTTCATAATTTTGTTCAAAATGATCGGATCGAGCTGATTTTGGTGTCATTCAACTCAGCTCATCGAGCTGTTTCGAATGAGCTATCATTTGTATTTTCAAATTTTTGACCCGAAAATCCCCCTGTAACTTTTGACCATTTCGAGCCCCATATCTCGGTCCAAACTTGTTCAATCACAGTGATTTTGGTCTTTCGACTCAGCTCGAGGAGCTCTTTCGAATGACTATCATTCAGAAAATCGATTTTTTCACCCCAAAAATGTGCTTACTCCCCCCTATGGTTTTTCGATTTTTGGGGACCTATATCTCGGTCCACAGGCATTTCCGCACCTGGAGAGTGGTACCGTTCGACTCAGCTCGCCGAGACGAATCGATTGACATATCATTTGTACCGTTTCGGCGCAGGCCCTCGACTAAACTACAGCCAAATAGAATTTGAGTGAAGATATCTTCTCCTAAAAGAGTACTTTATTTTAATAAAGCTTTTAGTTTGTGAAACCAATTTGTTTACTCGAAAAGAACTCTCTTTATCTAGCAAAATATTAAATATTTGTATTATTATTAATATTTTTTATTTTGCGACAATAGAGAGTTCTTTTCGAGTAAATAAATTGGTTTCACAAACTAAAAGCTTTATTAAAATAAAGTACTCTTTTAGGAGAAGATATCTTCACTCAAATTCTATTTAAAGTTTTAAGGTAATACACTTTATTTAAATCTTTTGATACAATCTAAACTTTATAAACTAAATTCTAGAAATCTCTAGAAAACTCAAATTTAAATCAAACAGAAATACAAAGAATTCTTAGTCAAAGAACTCTAAACTTAGAAAACTTAAATCAAACTCTAGGTTCTATGTTCAACTCTTTATTTTAAACATCAGTCTAAAAGTTACACAACTTTTATTCAAACAAATTCTATTACAATTAGAAAAGCTCTTGAGAATCTTACAAACTTACAAAAAACTGAGAGTATCTTAAAAAACTGATTATTTCCTAAAATCCTAACGTTTAAATAGAGGAAAAGTGGGAGGGATTTTACATAAAAATAGAAAGAATTTACAATGAATAATGGGAAGAATTTGGAAGAAGTAGGCGTATTCGATTACGCATGATTAAAAATAGAAATAAAAAAATAAAAATATTTTTGACAA